AGTAGTAGTAGTAGTAGTAGTAGTAGTAGTAGTGGTAGTAGTAGTAGTAGTAGTAGTAGTAGTAGTAGTAGTAGTAGTAGTAGTAGTAGTAGTAGTAGTAGTAGTAGTAGTAGTAGTAGTAGTAGTAGTAGTAGTAGTAGTAGTAGTAGTAGTAGTAGTAGTAGTAGTAGTAGTAGTCGTAGTCGTAGTAGTAGCAGTAGTAGTAGTAGTAGTAGTAGTAGTAGTAGTAGTAGTAGTAGTAGTAGTCGTCGTGCTCGTAGTAGTAGTAGCAGTAGTAGTAGTAGTAGTAGTAGTAGTAGTAGTAGTAGTAGTAGTAGTAGTAGTAGTAGTAGTAGTAGTACTTCTAATACTGCTCTTACTGGCGAGGCCCGTGTGCGAGAGCTCGTCCATTGGATAGGCCGACTGCACGCGTGGACAGTTAATGCTGATCCGATCGACACTGAAGGGGTGGTGGGCGCCTCGGATGTGGTACTTCAGCTCCCTGACGACCCCGAGGGCCTCGGGCCCTTGGATGAGGCCCTCGCGACCCTGGACATGATCGGCTGGAAGCAGATCGAGTGCGCTCCCAGGTCTCTGCCCGTGCCCGCGCCCGAGCCGAACGAGGGTGGTGGGGGTGATGGGGTGGACCTTGGGGCCGTGCCTGGCAGGGCGCGCCGTTTCAAAGGGCATTCGATTATCAAGTGCGATGTGGGAGTTGCAGAGGATGGGTTGCCTCCCCTGTTCTTCTGCAAGTGCTGCGGGCCTCGGTAGGCCAGAGGGCCTCTCCTGGCAAAGGCTTGGCCGATGATTGCAAGGGGTCGAGGCATGCGGGATTGAAGACCCAGCTCTCCCGCCTTCGGCGCTGCCTGCACCCGTCATAGCCATCGCCCAAGGAGCTCTCGGAGTTCCGAGGCTAAGTGGGCAGCGACGTCGAATGGCTCCAAGAGAAGCTGGTGGGTGTCCAGTCTGTTCCGTTCCTCAGGGCGGGGTTTGGCATGGGCGGGGGGCCGCTGGCGAATTGTCGTTGGGTTCTGAGGGCCCTGCCAGCTTCTACGGGGTGGAGGTCACGATTCTAGACCTCAGGAAGGTTGCCCGTCTGCACGTTTTTGAAACGCTCGATTCGGCTGTTGAATGGGCGAAGCTGTTGCGGCGGACTCGTAAGGAAGCCGTGGCCGAGGGTCTCGAGCTTCGGCGCATCCCAAGGGAGGAGGGGGCATAGTGTGTCCCGGCCGCGCAACGGCTACGCGGACCTTCCGCCTATGCACCATTACCATTGCCATTACCTCCTCCTGCTCCTCCTTCCCCTCGCCTTCCTCCTCCTCCTCCTCCCTCCTCCTCCTCCCCCTCCTCCTCCTCCTTTCCTCCTCCACCCCCTCCTCCTCCTCCTCCTCCCCACCCCCTCCCCCTCCTCCTCCTCCTTCTTCTCCTCCTCCTCCTCCTTCTCCTCCTCCTTCCTCTCCTCTTCCTCCTCCACCCCCTCCTCCTCCATTCCTTTTCCTCATAAATAAGTTCTCCCTGTCGCACCCCGAGGCCAGTTTTTAGGGTGGCCGGGCGTTTCGCCCGAGACTTCGTCACCATTTGTGATTCTGAAGCTTTCAAAGAGGCAACAGTTTCACAGATGAAAGGCGGGTGGTTTGTAAAATGTTGCTCTCGTCTTAGCGCGGTGCACATTCGTCTTGAACATTTGCAAGAGCTTCAGTGATTGAGGGCGCGTCGTCTTCAAATTGTGGCTCTCGCTTTAGCGCCGCACGCATTCGTTAACACAAGCTGCAAGGGTTTTACGGATTGGGGGCGGGTGGTTTTCAAAATGTGGCTGTCGCTTCAGCGCCGCGCACATTCGTGAAACAAACATATGATTTTCGTTGATTGAGGGCGGATGGTTTTCAAAATGTGGCTGTCATCTTAGCGCCGCGCGCATTCGTTTCAAACATGTGCAAGAGTTTCACGGATTGAGGGCGGGTCGTTTTCAACATGTGGCTGTCGCCCCAGCGCCGCGCACATTCGTACTAACATATGCAAGAGCTTCACGGATTGAGGGCGGGTGGTTTTCAAAATGTGGCTGTCGCCTTAGCGCCGCGCGCATTCGTTTCAAACATGTGCAAGAGCTTCCCGGATTGAGGGGGGCTCGTTTTCAGAATGTGGTTCTCGCTTTAGCGCCGCGCGCGTTTGTTTTGAACATTTGGGAGTGTCTCACGGATTCCCACGATCAACGTATCATGAATGGTGTGTTGGCAGGGTTCATGACTATGCGGGTGCAACTGTTATGTTGGTTCACGGTGTTGAAGTCCCAAAAAGGATGTTCTGGTACGATTCTGGATCGTCAAGACGCAGCAGTCAGGTTAATCCGTGGCGATGCAATTCAAAAAACAATGTTCTGGAATGCTTCGGGGTCTTCCAACGGTTGTCTTCAAACGAGGCATTTCCCCCAATGGAAATGAGCCGTCGTATGGGGCCTGTGAAGGAGGGAGCTGGGAGGGAGGGTCAAGTCCAACATCGTTGATGACTCTGTGGTTTACACTGGTCCTCCTCCTCCTCCTCCTCCTCCTCCTCCTCCTCTTTCCCGCTCCTCCTCTCTCCCCCGTAGCAATCTTACCTCACTTCTTTTTTGGCCGTGCCGCCCGTGCGCACTGGCGCCGCCGGCCCCCCCCGCCGGCGGCGGCATGGCGCGCGCCGTGCGGCGGGGGCTGGCCCTCTGTGCCTCCCTCGCGGCCGGCGGCCTCGCCCTCGCGGTGGACGGCCAGGCCCGGATCCAGGCCTCGTCGCGGCGGGATCGGGGGCGACGACAATCGGGGGCGGCAAAGAGGGGGGTGATGACTAGGCGGGGGTGGATATCATGGCGGGGGCCATGATTTTTTCCCCAGATTTCATGGCGCCTCTTCTTATTTCATTACGTCCCTGGCCCCCCCGCTGGGCCGCGCACATGCCGCCGGTCATGATTTGCACCCCCCCCTCTTGGACACCCCCCTCTTGGCCGTTCCCGAGACAATGGGGGGGCGGGGGCGTCGGGGCTCCAGGTGTTCGGCAGTTTTCGTCGGTTCGCGGGGGGCCTTTCCAGCCTCGGAGCGCGCTCCAGCAGCTGCGCCTCGCCGAGGGTGCCAGAGCCGTCCCGAACGGCCGTCGGGGACCCAAGTGATGACCCGAGAACCATCAGGGGATCGGCTCAGAGGGGATGCATCGACCCCCAATCGCCCACTCATTGCGGACAAGGGACCCAGCAGCCCCAGCCTGCCCAGGAACGTGTGGACTCACTATCGGGGGGCCTATCGTCGATCTGGCGGCGATGTATCGCCGATTCCAGGTCGATGCGTCCCCCCCAATGCAGCCCCCCCTATCGTTGTCCCTCACAGGAGCTGGCTGTGCCGGGGAAGCGGAGCGCGCTGCTGACGGTCTGCTTCGTCTCCAAGGCCTCGCCGGGCCGCCACACGGTCGATCAGCTGACGAACGGCTGCATCCTCAACGTCGCCTCATTCAAGCTGGCGGCGCCGGAGTCGGACGTAATCCTGATCGCCCCCGCGGAGGAGAATGCGGCTGACAAGATCAAGACCATGTCCGAGAAGGACAGCTCCATCAAGATCTCGTATGTCGGCACGGGCCCGTGGGAGGTCGGCGGGCAGAGCATTCCCTTCAAGAACGCCGAGGGGAAGTTCTACGGCAACGGGCTGAAGCTGCTGTGGTACACCCAGACGCTGAAGAAATTCCAGGGGCACTACGACTACATCTTCATCGCCGACGGTGCCGACCTCTACTTCCAGCGGAACCCCTTCGAGCTCGCCGTGGAGTATCCGTCAGCGGACCTGGTGTTCTTCGGCGACCGCGGCGACAGCCCGTCCAGGGGGAAGCAGTTCTTCGACCGGATGATGCCCCGCTGCGAGAGCTCCAAGCGCAATGAGCCCAGCTTGATGGATGCCGTCGACAAGGCGTTCATGCGCAAGGTGGACGGCAGGCCCTACAGCGTCTATGCCAACAGCGGACTGATCCTCGGTAAGGCAGACGCGATGCTGAGCCTCACCAGCCAGGTTGCCGAGATCGCGGCCGAGTGCCGTTTCTGGATTTCCGACCAGAGCTTCGTCAACCTAGTCCGCTATTACATGATGAAGGAGCGTGGCGAGGACAAGGTCTTGATGTTCCCAGACATGGAGAAGACCGCCTCCCTGGGCCACTACAGCTGGTACTTCTGGACCGAGGACGGCTGGCTTGCCAACAAGGACACGAAGGAGAAATTGTATGTGGTCCATCAGTACGACCGCGCTCCGCAGGCTAAGATGCTGACGGAGCTGGTCTGGAACAAGACGGCCGAGTGGATCCGCAAGCACGAGTGAGCCGCCACTCTTACGGCACGTGTTAGAAGAAACGGAGCATGAGTTGGACCGCAAGTGTTCTTTGGACCCAGAGTTGCGAAGCGTTGTTGGCAGTGTTCTTCTCCTTCTCCCATCCCCATTTTGGCTCAACCCGTTTTGGCTTAAGATGATGTCTTCCATATGGGCCAAGTGCATACCTTTGATCAGAGGCCAGACCCCCGCTGTCATTCTCCTTTCGATCCTCACGGTCAGCTGCCGTGCAGCCGTGAGCTCCTTTCCTACGATTCGCACCGCTCCAGCAGTCGATCCCCGACAGATCCTTTCGATGAGCCTAGGGGGCCAGACCCTCAAGGACAGCAGGCGGCAGACAACCCGTTCGGAGGAATTGATCTACCTACTTAGCCAGATGGTCGCCCAGCTGTTGGACGTGCTGCTGCTGCTGCTGCTGCTGCTGCTGCTCCTCCTCCTCCTCCTCCTCCTCCTCCTCCTCCTCCTCCTCCTCCTCCTACCTCGAGGGTCGATGATCGAGGTTTCCTCGGCGCCTTCGTCTCTGTGAGGTCCTCTGGAGGGGTCCTCTGGGGACCTCCGTCGACCTCCGGGGCCCACGGGGTCCTCCTCCTCCTCCTCGCCCTTCTCCTTGCCCTCTCGCCCCCGCCTCGTCCTGTCCCCGCCAGTCTGCGACCAACTGTGAACCCCTCCCCTTCTGGTCCAACCCGACGACGGGGAGGACGAGGAAGAGGAGGGAGGAAGAGGAGGAGGGGGAGGAAGAGCGATGAGGAGGAGGCGGATGGGAGGAGGAAGAAGGAGGTAGAAGGAGAAAGGGGAGGAGGAGGAGGAGGATGATGCTGATGCTGATGATGCTGATGATGATGCTCGTGATGATGCTCATAGTGGTGCTGATGATGGTGATGCTGATGATGCTGCTGATGATGATGATGCTGATGACGATGATGCTGATGACGATGATGATAATGATGATGATGATGATGATGACGATGATGCTGATGATGATGATGATGATGATGTTGATGATGCTGATGATGATGACGGTGCTGGTGCTGATGCTGATGTTGATGCTGATGCTGATTATGATGCTGATGAAAATGATGACAATGATGATGATGATGATGATGATGATGATGATGATGATGATGCTGATGATGATGATGATGATTATGCTTATGATGATGATGATGATGATGATGATGATGATGATGATGATGATGCTGCCGCTGCTGCTGATGATGATGATGCTAATAATGATGATGCTGCTGATGATGATGACGCTGGTGATGATTATGCTGATGATGAGGATGCTGCTGCTGCTGATGATGATGACGATGAAATTCTTGCTGCTGATGATGATGCTGTTGATGATGATGCTGATGATGATTATGATGATGCTGCTGAGGATGAGGATGATAATAATATTAGTAATAATAATAATCAGGATGATGATGATGATGATGATGATGATGATGATGATGATGCTGATGCTGATGATGATGACGATGATGATGATGATGATGATAATGATGATGATGATGATGATGATGATGATGATGATGATGATGATGATGATGATGATGATGATGATGATGATGATGATGATGATGATGATGATGATGATGATGATGATTGATGATGATGATGATGATGGATGACGACGACGACGACGATGATGATGATGATGATGATGATGATGATGATGATGATGATGATGATGATGATGATGATGATGATGATGATGATGATGATGATGATGATGATGAGGAGGAGGAGGAGGAGGAGGAGGAGGAGGAGGAGGAGGAGGAGGAGAAGGACATCCCCGCTTGGTTTCACTCGGCTGCAGACATCCTTTGAATCCTGGCCCCCGGCCGGCGTTTCAGAAGTCCGACCTGGAGGGGTTGCCCGGCCAGGTGGATTTCAAGACCGGCGACGGCAGGGTGCGCTTCAATCCGAACCTTTACGTGGAGGGCAAGGCCACTGGGGGGCGGCTAGAGGGGGCGGGCGCCAGGAAGGGTCAGAGCGTTGCGCCTCCCCCTCCTCCTCCTCCTCCTCGCCTTGGTGGGCTTCTTGTCGTCGCCCCTCCTTGCGCTGCCCTGGGTCTTCCTTGTCCTGTCCTGCGCCGCTTCCCTGCATGCTTCGCTAATCAAGCGGCTGTTTCATTTTGTGAGTAGCAGATCCGAGTAGATGATTCAGACATTGACCTCTTCTTACGCTCGTCTCCCCCTCCTCCTTCTCCTCCTCCTCCTCCTCCTCCTCCTCCTCCTCCTCGGTGGCCTCTGGGGCGGCCGTTTTGTGGCTTCCTGTGTGTGTGTGTGAGCTCATGCGAAAGAGTCCAGCACAGCTTCGTAAAACAGCGCTGGACTCCGCTGGCCCGCAGCCATTTTGGCTCGCGCTGGCTGCTCTGCGCCAAGGGTGCCCCCTCGCCGACTGCCCGCCAAGCCAACCACAGGTGCCGCCGCCAAGCCTACCCACGCTCGGCGGGCCACCATGGGCGAGGAGGAGGCTCCGAGCTGGGACAACACCCTCGAGGAGTGGCTGATGTCGGAAAGCTTCTGCTGCGCCGCGGGGCTGGCGCAGCTCGAGGACGGGGCGTTCTACGCGGCGGCGCCGGTGGCGGAAGAGGCCGGGTGGGGCATGATCTACGCGGAGGACCACGAGAAGGAGATCTTGCAGGACGACATGAGCACCAAGAAGGCCACGATCAACGAAGCGGCTGGTATCAAGGAGTGCGCCATGGGCGGCAAGCCCAAAAATGGGCTCTGGATCGCCGGAGAGAAGTGGAACATCACGAAACAAGAGGAGCTGGATGTCGGGGACGAGACCGTCAAGGTCACCATGGGGCAGGGCCTCGTGAGCAAGAAGAAGGGCGTGTTCATCGTGTGCTGCAAGTCCCAGTTCCTCCTGGCGATGTACGACGAGGAGAAGGACCAGACAGCCGGCAACTGCAAGAAGGCGGCCCTGGCCTTCGCGGAATACCTGATCGGAGAGGGGTACTGAGCTCCCGGCGGCCAACGGGGCGCGGCCGGCGCGCTTCCCGTTTCTCAGGGTCCCACCCTCTCCCTCGATCTTCCTCCATCCTATTCCCTTTAGACGTGGCACGGGCTTGATGCAACATCTTCCATTACTTCCTCCTCCTCCTCCTCCTCCTCCGCTCTCCGCCCTCCTCCCGCACGCGCCTCGCGGAGCTCTCAGGGCGGCCTCGGGGTCCGCGGAGTGAGTCCCGCCGCGCGGCAGCCGAGGAGGCGCCCCCCTTTAGTTCCCCTCCCTCCCCTCCCTGCAGTTCCCTCCAGCCAAATTCCTGGCTGCTCGCTGTCGAGTTCGGCAGTGCAGCCCGGGCGACAGCACACAGAGAGATAGCCTCATGCAGTTCGGGACATCGTCTTTAGACCGGCGCGAGCGAGAAGAAACATGAGCCTGGCGAAGAGCCCAGCCCTATCCAAACAGGGGGCACCTAGACACAGGGAGTCTCAATGCACACGAGCACGTTGAGGAATCTGCGATGTCCCCGACAGCCTCGCTAAGGACGGTCAGACCGCGAACAAAGTCCCCCATTCACGCATGCGCTCTCACAGATCGACTCGCAATGGGGAGAATGACGACGAACCCGAAGCGGAACAGGACGGGTGTCTGGCATGAAAAGGAGGCGCCTATTTTGAAATTTTGCATTGGTGACGCCCTTCAAATCATAGACATGTTCCCGAACAACGTGCGTCACGTGACGACAGGTGAGCGTGAGTGCCACGAAACGCATGAACGCCCTCGGTGGAGCGCCCTGGAGGGCAGGAAATGTGAGAGGGGTGTGCCGACATGTGCGGGGCGACGCCATGCGAACGCACCCTCTGAGGCTTTCGGTGGAGCTCCCTGGGGGGCAGGAAATGTGTGAGGGGCGTGCCGACATGGGCGGGGAGACGCCATGCGAACGCACCGTTTGAGGCCCTCGGTGGAGCTCCCTGGAGGGCAGGAAATGTTTGAGGGGATGCCAAAATGGGCGGGGCGACGCTATGCGAACGCTATCACTGCGGCCCTTGGTAGAGCTCCCTGGGGAGCAGGACATGTGTGAGACACGTGCCGACATGGGCGGGGCGACGCCATGCGAACGCACCTATTGAGGCCCTCGGTGGAGCCACTCTTAGCCAGCGTGCACCCCAAACAGTGCGTTATTGAATTGTGGAAGTGAGAGCTATGCGGTGAAAGCTGTGTGGTAAAAGCTATTTCGTGTAAGCTCCTGGGGGGCATGATACGCGTTAGGGGTGTGCCGGAATGGGCGGGGCGATCCCATGCGAACGCACCTACTTGGGCCCTCCGTGGAGCTCTCTAGGGGGCATGATTCGCGTGAGGGGCGTGCCGACATGGGCGGGGAGACGCCATGCGAACGCACCCACTGAGACCCTCGGTGGAGCTTCTTGGGGGGCAGGAAATGTGTGAGGGGTGTGCAGACATGGGCGGGGCAACGCCATGCGAACGCACCCTTTGAGGCCATCGGTGGAGCTGCCTGGAGGGCAGGAGCTGTGTAAGGTGTGTGCCAGAATGGGCGGGGCGACACCATGCGAACGCACCCTTTGAGGCCCTCGGTGGAGCTCCCTGGGGGACAGGAAATGTGTGAGGCACGTGCCAAACTGGGCGGGGCGACGCTATGCGAACGTACCCGCTGAGGCCCTTGGTGGAGCTCCCTGGGGAGCAGGAAATGTGTGACGGGTGTGCCGAAACGAAGCGCGTGATGGGCGTGCTGGAATAGACCAGGGCAGGAAGAGGAGGTGAAGGAGGGGGAGGGGGAGGAGGAGGAGGAGTGGGAGGAGGAGGGAGGAGGAGGAGGAGGGGGAGGGGGATGATGATGATGATGATGATGATGATGAGGAGGAGGAGGAGGAGGAGGGCCGGGCAGGGCAAGGAGCCCATGGCCCAATTTCGACATGTCTTGCACAGCAGGAGGCTGCTCCCCGCGTCATCCACCAGGCGGAGGTCACAAGTCCGAGCGGCGAAGCGAAATCCGCAGCCACTCTCGCTGGTGCTTGAACGAGGACTTGGGGGTTGGGAGTGACATGCGTGACGCTGCTTAAATCCAGCTTTAGCCAGCTGGGGAGCACAGAAACCGCAGCACGGCACACAGCTGTAGCAGTGCGAGCGATGCGATCAACCTGGGCCAATTCGTCTCCACTTGGCTGCGGGTGAAGAAGGCAACCCTGCTTCGCCACTCTGTCAGCTGCGTCATTACCGTTTTACCTTGCGAATTTCTCCCCCAATGGGGAGAGGATGAGAGGACCGCTCTGCCGTACTATATTTCTCATGAGAGAAAGGAGGAGGAGGAGGAGGAGGAGGAGGAGGAGGAGGAGGAGGAGGAGGAGGAGGAGGAGGAGGAGGAGGAGGAGGAGGAGGAGGAGGAGGATCAGTGCTCCCCAAGACTCACCAACGATATTGCAAACACCCTCCATCCAAGGTTCCTATTCATAAGCCCCTAAAAGGATCCATTCTCACTGAGGGGAGTTCCCCGTTGGAAGACAACCGTTTGGACATCCTGAACTGTGCCAGAACACCGCTCCTGGGACTTCAACTTCGCGAATCATGTTTATTGCTGCTTCTTGACGATCCTGAGTCGTGCCAGAACACCGTTCCTGGGACGTCAACACTGCAACTCAACGTACGTATTGCGCCCTGAAAGTCCGACATCGTGCCAAAACACAATTTCTGCGACGTTCGCAGTGAGATCCTGAAAATTATTGCTAAGGCGAGAGTCAGCTTTTGAAGAGGAGCCGCCCTCCATCCGTGAAGCTCTTGCGACCTTTTCATACGAATGTGCGCGGCGCTAAGGCGATAGCCACATTTTGAAAGCAGACCGCAATGTGCGTGGCGCCCTGGCGAGGGCCACATCTTGAAAGCGATCCGCCCTTCTCCGTAGACGAATGTCCGTGGCACGAAGGCGAGGACCACATTTTAAACGCCACCCGTCCTCCGTCCGTGGCAATTTCTAGACGCTCCGCGTAACCCTACCAGCCCATCCAAAAGCGATGCCGAGACGGGTTGCCCTGATCAGGGATGTGGAGTACATTGCAGTGGAATGAAAGGTTGGGTAAGACGTCGTACCCCAAGAAGGGGGAGGGTGAGGAGGAGGAGGAGGAAGAGGAGGAGGAGGAGGAGGAGGAGGAGGAGGAGGAGGAGGAGGAGGAGGAGGAAGAGAAAGAGGTGGAGGAGGAGGAGGGGGAGGAGGAGGAGGAGGAGGAGGAGGAGGAGGAGGAGGAGGAATGATGATGAGCACGTGGACAATAACGAGGCGGAGGAGGACAAGGAGGAGGAGGAGGAGGAGGGTGAGGGTTAGGGTGAGGAGGAGGAGGAGGAGGAGGAGGAGGAGGAGGAGGAGGAGGAGGAGGAGGAGGAGGAGGAGGAGGGGGAGGAGGCGGAGGAGGAGGAGGAGGAGGAGGAGGAAGAGGAAGGGGAGAAGGAGGGGTGGTGGTGGTGGCGGTGGTGGTGGTGGTGGCTTGAATGTGCATTGGGTTGGGCCGCGGGCACGGCCCCTTCAGCGACACCTCCCACTCAGGAGTGGCTGGGGGGTAGCTCACCACCGGTCGCGGGGGTCTAGTGCCGCAGCGTCACGGCGCCACTCGATCCGAGAGGCCCCCTGGGGGGGGGGACCCAGGAGGGAGGAGGAGGAGGAGGAGGAGGAGGAGGAGGAGGAGGAGGAGGAGGAGGACCAGTGCCAACCCAAGTGTCATCAACGATGTTGGAATCAACCCTCCCTCCAAGCTCCCTCTTCATGAGCACCTACAACCCCCTGGAATAAAAAGTCCGGACCGCAGAGGTCGGGGAATAAGCCTTGATGTTCGGCTCCCGTTAGGCCACGGGGCCCCTGTACAATGTTGCAGGGGCCGCCATGGTTAGATTTCGGGTTCATCCTCACCCCCTCTAATATTATAATCGCCAGATGGGGTGATGACCGGAAATCAGCATTCCGCCCAATACTTCCTCCAAGAGAAATTCCGGA